GAAGGACTTAGAGTGGCGTAGACAGGAGTCAGTATTGGAGTGGTGACAACCTTCAGGATAGGGCCTCCTTGGAGCAACGCCCCCGGACCTCAGCCCTTCCCTACAACAGAGATCCCTCTGAATCCAAAGTTGAGCCACAGCAGAGAGGAGGTGGCCACCCACACCAGGGTCTGGCTCCCGAGGACCCAGCAGCTTGAGGATGTCTACCAAGAAGGGCGCTTTGGGCCACCATCCAGCTAGGGGGCTGCTTTTCGGAAGCCCCACCACTGACTGGGTAGGAGTGAAGATTGCTTTGTTTCCCCTGGCAGGACGAGGTGCTGATGATCCAGGAAGCCAAGAGAGAGTGCCGGGGAACCTGGTACCTCCCTGCAGGGAGAATGGAAGCCGGGGAGACCATTGTGGAGGCGATGCAGCGGGAGGTGAAGGAGGAGGCTGGGCTGCTCTGTGAACCAGTGACACTGCTGTCTGTGGAGGAGAGGGGTGCCTCCTGGATCCGTTTTGTATTCCTTGCTCGACCCACAGGTACAGCCCACCTGGTGGCATTGGAGCACTTCCTCGGTTTGTTCTCCTGAGCCAGCCATACTGTGGCTTCTGCAAATTGCCATTGACCTATTACAGTCTCAGAGCTTGGGGGTGGGGTGGGGGGTCTTCCCCCTGGAATGCTTGGGTGGCCATGTACTCTCTCGGACTCAACACTTTTCATATTGGCGGACCCTCTCCTCTCCCTCCAAATCTACCCTAGGTGGAGTTCTCAAGACTTCCAAGGATGCAGATGCTGAGTCCCTACAGGCTGGCTGGTACCCACGGGTCTCTCTGCCCGCTCCGCTTAGAGCCTATGATGTTCTGCACTTGGTGGAGCTGGGTGCCAAATTCTGCCAACAAGCCATGCACCCTCTCATTCTGCCTCAAGAGCTTCCCTGCAGTGTCGTCTGCCAGCGGCTGGTGGCCACCTTCACAACGGTCCAGTCAGTCTGGGTGTTGGTGGGCTCAGTGGGGACACCTCACTTGCCCATCACTGCCTGTGGCTTCACCCCTATGGAGCAAAGGGGGGGCATCAAGGTGGCCACCCTGCGGCTGCTACAGGAGTGTCTGACGATGCACAATTTGGCAGTGGAGACCAAGGGGTTGCTTGGACTGCAGCATCTGGGCAGAGACCACATGGATGGTATCTGCCTGAATGTGCTAGTGACGGTGGCTTTTCGGAACCCAGGAATCCAAGATGAGCCCCCAAAGATTCGGGGCGAGAACTACTTTTGGTGGAAGGTGTTAGAGGAAGACTTACAAAAACAGCTTCTGCACAGACTCCAGGAATCTTCGGTTGTCCCCCTGAGCAGATAGAGAGGCGCCACTCGTGACAGAAGCTGAGGAGCCACACCCTCCCTCTGTGGGCAGGAAAGAGGTGGCACTCTGAGATCTCATTGTACTGTGTGCAGGGACCCCACACTGAGCCCAAAGGGAGAGTGCCTTGAATCCCAGTACTCAAAGGTTTCCGTCGTTCTCAGGGTACACAGTGCTTCTCTTAAGATGGTGAGAAGCTTTTTGAACCCCAAATGGCATCATCTTATTTCCTTGTCCACTTTGGTAAAAAAAGCCGCATGTTAATTCATCCAAGCCCTTAGGAATGTAGAGAGGGATGGGACATGGGGGACTCGTCCCTCAGGGCAGAGTCCTCATTGCTGAGTAAAAAAGATGTTGCTTAACTTGCCTTCTTGCCTAAATGTCTGTGTGGGGAAGACGTGGGGCCACTGTCTCGCCCACAGCCACCCAGGTCTTTCCTCATGATGTACACACTGATGTGATGCAGGGGTGGAGGGCTTCTAGGGTAGGCAGGGCTGTTCACTGAAGCCTCAACCCACCCTGGCTCTCTTGAGCTTTTCTGTCCTGCTGGGGTGGGTGTGGGACTTTGAAGTGACCGCACCCCTAATAAAAACACAGCTCAGACCTGTCCAGGTGTTGGAAGAGTTTGGGCTGGTGAAATAGCATGTGGAGCAGGAGCTGAGAATGACATGTTGGCCTCTCAGCCCAAGTTTCTTTCTCTTTGAGCTTCTGGGCTCTGAGCTGTATCCATGTGCTCTCGGGTCCTGGCTTTTTTAAGTTTTGTTTTTGTTTGTTTGTTTGTTTGTTTTGGCTTTTCGAGACAGGGTTTCTCTGTGTAGCCTTGGCTGTTCTGGAACTCACTTTGTAGACCCGGATGGCCTCGAACTCAGAGAGAGAGTCATCTGCCTCCGCCTCCTGAGTGCTGGGATTTAAAAGTATGTGCAACCATCATCTGGTGACTTTTAAGTTTTGTTCAAAAGCTTTCCTCAGTTCATGCAGCCCAGGCTAGCCTCAAGAACTCTTATAATGTAGCTGGTGATGACCTTGAATTTTTGATCCTCCTACTTCTGCAGAACTCCAGCACTTTGCCAACTGAGTTACATTCCCAAGCCATAACAGGATTTTGTTCTCTTGAGATAGAATCCACCCATCTAGACCAGGCTAGCCTCACGTTTGTTGCAATCTTCTTGCCTCTGATTCTTGAGTCCTGGGAATACAGATGTGCTTCAGCACGCCAGTGCCAAGCATTATTTTGTTGTTGTTGTTGTTATTATTATTATTGTTATTATTATATTTGATGAAAACTTTGGGGCTGGAGAGATGGTTCAGCTCAGCAGTTAAGAGCACGTACTGCTGCTCTCTTGCAGAGGCCCTGAGTTCAATTCCCAGTTCTTACACTGAATGGCTCATGACCACCTATAACTCCAGCTCCGGGCCATCCAACACCCTCTCTGGCCTTTGTGGACACTGCAACTCAATGTGCATATACCTCTCCACAGATACACGTAATAAAAAATAAAAATTTTAAATAAAACCCCAAAGCAACGGAAGCAAAGGAAATGTGTGTTGCTAATCATCAGAGATCCACCCGCCTCTGCCTCTGTTGGGATCAAAGGTGTGCACCATCACTGCCCAGCTGGTAGCGCATGCCTTTAACCCCAACATTCAGGAGGATCTCGATGAGTTCAAGGCCAGCCTGGTCTATATAGCAACTTCCAGATCAGCCAGGACTACTTAGAGAGACCTTGTCTCAAAAAAACAAGAAAAATGATAGTCTTTTCTATTTTTTCATTTCTGTAATGCTGTGGGTTGAACCTAAGGTCTCACACATGCTAGTTAAGCAGGCTACCTAATGGTCCCGACTAGAAGCAAAAAGCAAAACCCTTTTATTCAGTCCACGACTCCTCCAGTTTCTACACAGAGAGAGAAGGGCAGTGACCTTCACTCCCACTACTGAGCCTGGTAATTTTCAACCCTGGGTACACATCACCATCACCCAGAAAGCTCTCAGACAATTCCGTCCACCCACTGTACTGACTAAGCTGCTGAAGCCAGTTGGGCGCTGGCATTTTTATCTGTGTCTGGGAGCACATGCGTGCCCATGTGCGGAAGCCAGTGGAGGATGCTGGGAGTCCTGCTCTATCGATTTCCACCTCACTCCCTCGAGACAGGGGTCTCTCACTGAACCCGGAGCGAGGCCCCGTGAGCCCCCTGTCTTCTTCACCCACAGTGCCGGGGCTTCCGATGTGTGTGCAGCCCTACCTCACTTTTCCACCTGGGTGCCGGGAACTCAGATTCATGTCTTTGCTTCTCTCCCGCACTGAGCCTTCTCCCCAGCCTGGCACTGGTACCTCAAAAAGACACCCACCACAGTGGCTCTCAACCTTCCTCATGCTGCGACCCTTTAATACACTTCCTCCTGCTCTGGTGACCCCAACCATAAAATTATTTTCATTGCTACTTCATAGCTGTAATTTTGCTATTGTTATGAATCATCATGTAAACACCTGTTTTCTGATGGTCTTAGGTGACCTCTGTGAAAGGGTCGTTCAATCTCCAAAGGGGTCTTGACCCACAAGGTAAGAACCACTTGCCTAGATTTACTCTCAAAAGAGTATTTTAAGGTTTCTTTTTAATTAATGTGTGTATGTCTCTATGTGTGAGTATGTGCCCACGAGTGCAGGTGCCCTCCAAGTCTCGAGACATCAGAGCCCCTGGAGCTGGAGTCAGAGGCTGTTGAAAGCTGCCTAACGTTGGTGCCAGGAACCAAATTTCAGTCCTCTGTGAGAGCTGTGCATGCTCTTAGCTATTAACCCACCCCTCCAGGTGATTTTACGAGGCTCCACTGGAGCCCTGCGGAAGATCCTGCTTCTCTAGTCTGATCGCCTGACCTGGCACTCTTGATGACTCAGAACACCCATTCCCAGACCTTTTTTTTTTTTTTTTTTTTTTCTTTCCTTAAAGCTGGGAGTTGGACATCATGGTACACACCTGTAACTCCAGCACTCAAGAGGATGCGGCCACAGGATTGCTATCCAGTTCAAAGCCAGGCTGAGCGCATGACCCTTTCTCAAAAAAGTCCAACCTACCAAACTAACATAAAAAACAGTGTTAAGGATTGAACCCAAGGGCCTTAGGCATGCTAAAAAAGCACTTTTTGTTGTTGAGACAGGGTTTCTCTGTGTAGCCCTGACTGTCCTGGAACTCGCCCTGAAGACCAGGCTGGCCTCAGAGATCTGCCTGCCTCTGCCTCCCAAGTGCTGGGATCAAAGGTGTTCGTCACCACCACTGCCGGGCTAAATAAGCACTCTTATCTCTGCACCATCCCTTCAGATCCCCTCTCTAAACCACGTTTTCATCAGTCCCAATGTGACTGACATGGTCATACAGCACACAGTCACACACAAGATGAGGCTTGCACAAGCAAGCCCTACCACAGCCAGATGACTCTTGCTGGAAGGCTCAGACGGAGGTGAACCGAATTGAAACAACGTTGCTCAGCCAAGAGTCACTTCCGGGCTGGTCCTGGGGAGTATCAAATTTGGGATGTCAGAACTCACTACCTATCACCTCTCTCTCCTCCAGTGCTGGAAAAGGAACTGAGTGTGTCTTCCTTGAGTGAAAAAATGGGCTCAAAGGGGGGCAGAAAAGCTCCGGGAAGAAGCCAAGCAGACTGAGGAACATCGTGTCCATACAATCACACCGTTTATTGCTGTGCTGTTGTGAAGACACCATGCAAATGCCAAAGTGCATTATTGCCCAGACCCTCGAACGGTAAGAATCTCCGAGTGTAGACCCACTCCACCAAGATCTGCTCCCACACCAGCGCCCACGTACGTACACACACACACACACACACACACACACACACACACACATACACAGCTCGTACACACAGGAGTGCGTGATGTTCTTCGGAGCAGCAGACAAGTCCTCCCCCGCTGGGAGGAATTCGGGAGAGGTAGAGGTCACTGAGTTTCCTCCTCTTTCATGTCACCTCCTGGCAACCTGTGCCCGGCTTCGAGAGGCGGCATGGGCAGGAAGAGGAAGCAGAAGGGGCTCTGGCCTGCTCCTCCTTGCCCAGGAGCAAAGCCAACGACTGCAGGCCCGTCGTGAGGTAATGCCTGGCACCGCCCGGGTGTTCTTACAGGTTGAGACAGATTCAGGCCGGGTGGGGTGGCAGCCCCAGCCATGAAGGACACACGAAGAACAATACCAGAGCTATCTGCTTGTGTCTCAGCCCCTCCTCACTAGGCCTCGGGGGTCTGGGGTTGGGGTACCCTGTCCCACCGGTCCCTTGAGTGCCTGTGCTCCCCAGGAGCACATCTCACTGGGATCCCTGGGTACCGGGCAGGATTCAGAGGACAAGACCCACCACCCCTGGTCAATGACCTCTCTGCTCAGGTGCTGTGGACTTGCTAAGACGGGTTCAGAAGGCGCCAGAGAGGAACCAGCTGGAGCTGGAGCCTGGCACCCAGCTCCCAGCTCCAAGGCCCTTGCCTGCCCCGGCTGCAGCTGTTGCCAAGGCTCTTGTTAGCAGCTGCCCCCGCCTGGGCGCGGAGCATGCTTTGGGCACCTGCCATGAGGCAGTTGGAAATTTTGCAACCGTCTCCGGGAGGGCAGAGCAGGAAGAGGGGGCTTCCCCACAGTCCCCCTCTCTGCCTCCGAGACACTTCTGTTCACGCCACGGAAGCCATGAAGAAGCCTGCCGAGTCTCAGCAGCTTCCATGATAACTAATGGGACAGACAGGGTTCTGGGCCCTCTCTCCCTGGACTAGATTTCTAGCAAGCCTCAAAGGCAGCAGTTCATTTCCCTCGCCCCTAGACGTGTCTCATGGTGTGGCCCTGGTCACAGTAGAGCAGGGATAGATAGGGTCTAGATGCTCACTGGCCATCCTCCAGCGGCTCCAAGGAGGCCCCAAGAACACCACTGCCTTAGAAGCCAGCTCTTTGGCTCCGTGACACCACCCTGAAACCTCAGCTCACATGGTCAACCAGTGAGGTCTCCTGCAGCCCAAGTCCCCCGGTCTGGAGGACAGCGTGGCAGCATGGCCAGGCAGGAAGCCGCCCCATGGGCAGAAGTACAGGCAGGCGTCTTCCCCTCCGCCCATCATGCTCCTGGCTCAGACTTGCCCTTCCGGGGGTGGAGAGGAGTTCAGGTAAGGACCATGTGGGGGAAACTTGACAAACGCAATGGCGGCCAGCTCCTTGCAGAATTCTTCAAGCACTACCACGCCCTGGAGGAGGGTCTGATGGTCCAGACTGAGGAGAGAGACAGTGGCGGGTAGGGGGAGATGGCATGGCTGGGAGTCAGCAGGTGTGCCTACACGGCATGACAGCCCATGTCCACAAGGCTTGACCCAGGAGAGACTCCTCAGTGCCGCCTTCCCAACCCTGGGCACCCACTTCCTGGTCCTACTTACTGCTCTCCGGGAACCTGGCCCATCAGCTGCTTGCGCACCAGGAGCAGTTTGCCCGGAAACTGGGGTACCCTCTGAATTCTTTGCATTAAGTCCCCGATCACCTAGAGTCGGGAAAGGACTCAGACGAGAACTGACCGTGTCCCACAGCTGCCCCCCGGCTCCACCCGTCCACAGGAGGTGAGAGATGGGATTGAAAAGCCTGCGCTTTTCCTGGCACTGGTACGGGTGCCCACTTCTCCATTCCCACCCCTTGCCCTGCTCGGTCCCTCCCGTCACACCCTCATCCTTACCCTGACAAGCACAGAGAACAGGCTCCTGCAGCCAGGGGCCAGGCTGATGTAGGGATCCAGGAGGTACTCATGGATATGGGGGTGGGGGAACAGGGCAAGCCGGGACAGGACTGAGGTCACTTGTAGGTTCAGGCTGTATGGCTGTAGGGAACGAGATGGACAACCCTGAATGTTGGCAAGGGGTGGCGAGCATTTTTTTTTTGTACTCCCCAAGCAAGGCGCCTGGCTGGTGTGAATGTGTGCGGGGGTGGGAAGACTCACGTGATATGTGTATGTCATGGATTCCCTGGGGCTGAGGGCCAGAGCATGTTAGGGCGTGTGGAGAACAGGCGAGAGAGACAGGGCTTCCCGCCTGGGGAAAGGTAAGGGGGCTGTGGAGCTGAGGAACCAAAGAGGGGTCCACCCTGGTCACCAGCCCCCTACCCTCCTGAAAGACACCAGGCCCGGCGTGGAGCTCTCCTAGGCATAATAGTCTTTGTGGCTACCTGATCCAAAATCCGGGTCATGCGATCAAAGAGCACTTGGAGGAAGCGACCCTCAAAGAAGGGCCTTTCGGGTAGGTGAGCGTCCAGGGGCGCTGGGCCCAGGGGCCAGCCCCAGGGGGCCACACGGGAGCTACACTCCTGGAACTGAAGCAGAGGGGAGAAAGAGTCGAAGAAGCAGGCCCAGAAAGGCCTAGTTGAGGGACCCTATAAAAACGGTGTGGGGTCGGGGATGCATCAGGACATCGTAGAGGAGGGAGCCACAGGACGCTCACTCACCAGGCCATAGGCATCATGCACGTACGTGTCATATCCATTCTCCTCCAGGAAGGCTGATGTCTTGGCTTCCTCAGGGACCAGGCAAAGGAAGCTAAGAGACAGGGGCCTAGGTGTGGAGGCGCCTCCCCAGGTCTCCCCCACGCTCTCTGCTGTTCGCAGGACCCCAGCGACAGGAGCGAATTCAGGCAGGCGACACCAGTGGCCTAACCTCCTCCCCACCTGTTGACGATCTCCGTCACCGCTGTTCTGCCATCTGAACTGGTGGCAGGAGCCGCGGGAGGCTTTGTGGAGGGCTGAAGGCCAGAATCCAGGAAGCCATCGGTGAAGTAGGGGTCTTCCTCCAGATCTCTGCAGGCGGGGAGAGGAGCATGCACCAATGAACAGCTGGATGAGCGGTGTGCACGGCTGTGCTGAGTCCTGGGCAGCTCCCTCCTTCCCTCCCTCCCTCCTTCCCTTCCTGTTTCACTTACAGGGTGTCCTCATAGTTCTCAGGCTCTGGCGAGCCCCGGGCCACATACAGGCGGCCCTCAAGGTTTTGCAGGACCAGGCTGCGGATGACTCCTTCATGCGGCTTCTGCAGCAGCTCCTCAAACAGCCTCAAAGTGGCAATGCTGATCTAGAGTGAGAGAAAGCAGCAGGGGACCCTCCTGTCACCCCTTTGGCTTCTCTCTCTTTCAAGACAGGGTTTCCCTGCGTGGCCCTAGCTATCCTGGAACTCGCTCTGTAGCCCAGGCTGGCCTCAGAGATCCGCCCGCCTCTGCCTCCCGGGTGCTGGGATTAAAGGCGTGGGCCACCACCGCTGGCTCCTCCTTGGTTTCTCAATGCCTGAGAACCAATGCCAGACAAAGTCCTCTAAGGCAGGGGTCACCTCCCTTGTTGACCAGAGGCTAGAGGAAGTGTTCCATTTCTCATTTGATGCGCCAATTCAGGCAAACCCATAGGCTTCTCTGTGCCTCCATTTCTGTATTAGAAAACATGGGACTACTTCATAGTGCTCAGGTCTCCAAAAAAAGCTGAATGAATAGAAAAGCAGTTGGCAAAATAGACAGAAAACCGCGACAAAGACAGCAAGGCTGCACGTCATAAACCGCCACTGCTTTGGCTTGAGGGAGGCCTGAGGCTGAGCTACCTGGAGCGGGTAGGAGAAAGCCAGGAGAGAACCCTCTGGAAGCCCCACGGTGGCTGTGGAGCAAGCTGAGGGATGAAGGCTCTTTTGCTTTACCTCGTCGGAGAGATGGTCACAGTGCATGATGAGGTGTGTGCCCAGCGTATGGGGGCTGTCCTCTGTGGCTGCAGGCTGCTGGTCAGTGCCCAAGAGGAAGGTCATGGCCTCCTGCAGCAGTTCGGGGGAGCGCAGCTGCCGCAGCAAGGCGGTCAACAGGGCAGTGGACGTCAGGATGGTCTGCTCGGATCTGCAGGGAGAGGGGGAGAGCAGAGGAGGGCGCGTGCGTGCGTGCGTGCGTGCGTGCGTGCGTGCGTGAGTGTAGCAGTGCAGAACCTTTCTTGCTCTCCTTCCTTTACAGCCTGGCAAATCTCTAGCTACCTCCCCATCCCTCGTGAGGTCCTAGAGTTGGGGTGGGAGGCTGCTCTCCAGCCCGTGGGGCTTAGAGCCATGTGCATGTTAGACCCGGCAAGTATCAACAGGTAGTCCCCTGGCCTTTGTTCTGGGCAGAGGCCTGGTAGGGTGGGCCAGACACAGACCAGGGCCAAGGGGCTGAACAGACACTTACACATGCACGAGCTGGGGCTGCAGGGTCTCTACAAACAGCTTCTCGGCTACAGCCTTCGCCAAGGCATCTGCAACCACCTAGGAGCCAGAGAGTACGTCTTCTACATTCACGCCCCATCACATTCATTCCTAAAAAACCACGGTGTCTTCACACAGCCCCAAATATGTCAGAGGAGCCTGGCCACCCCAGGGCCAAGCTGGCATCTGGCCCCAAGTCACGGTGCATCAGCATCAGCTCTACTCCATCACTGAGATGAGTGAGACACCTAAGGGAGCCAGGACAGAACCCAGGTCACACCTGCCCCTGCTCACCGCGTGTGCCTCTGTGATAAGGTGGTCGCAGTAATCAAACCAGCCCAGGAAGGCAGCCAGAGCCTCCTTGCCGGGGAAAGAGGCCTCATCAGATGGGGCACTGGGTAACCTAAGAGAAAGAGAAGCAGGAGTCTGGCAGATGAAGCACAAAGCTTCCAGGCTTTCCTGAAGGACATCTGGGAGCTGGCCTCCCCTGCATCTAGAACCTCTGCTGTGCCCCAGATGGCAGAAGTGAGGCTTCTGGGAGGCTGGGAAGGGCCCTAGGGACTGGCTCTCCCGCCCAGGAGAAGGGTTGCTAGCAAGGCTGCCTAGTCTGTGTAACTACCAGCCCCTGAAGGTGTTCCCCAGTCTCCCCAGGCCGGGGACCCACCTCCAGCTGATGCCCTCTAAAGTGGCAATGTCTGCCGGGTCAAGGAAGGCTGGCATGGACCGGTACAGCTGGCAGAGATGCTCGGCTATCACCACACAACAGGAGGTGCTTTGTATCAGGTAGGTGGCAGCTGCTGGCGAGGCCACGCTTACCAGCAGCAATACGTTCTCCCGTGCCTTCAGGGCCACCCGACTCTTCTAGGGGATGGGGAGATGATGTCTGAGACAGGCGTTCTCTTTCCCCCCTCCCCACCCCTGCCATCTCTGTGGCCAGACCTTGCTCTTGCACAGCCCGAGCAGGGAGGTGATGAGATTGCTCTCCCCAGGCCCATTGTCTGGCCCCTCCGTCTCAGCAGGCAGGTGGCTGCTCAAGGCTGGGACACCACAGTGCTCCCTATCCAGTCCGGGATCCCTGCCGGGAGCGTCACTGCGGGGACAGTCCTTGTCCCCGGAGCCAGTTATGTCTTCAGGCAGAGCTGTAGGTTCTCTGGATGTCTTCTTGCCTATAATTTTTTTACCCTGTGAAGAAGGGTGGGGTGAGGCCGAGGTCAGAGAGAGCACTCCATCCCACAGGGTGCTTCCTTGAGACTGCAAGGTAAGAGCCAGGTGTGGCGGAGCACTGCTGTAATCTTGGAAAGCAGAGGGAAGAGGCTCACAAGTTCAAGGCCAGCCTGGGCTACACAGTCTGCTACTTGTGTCTTGCCAGGCATCATGTAGTACATACTGTAATTCCAGAACTTGGGAGGCTGAGGCAGGAGGATTGTAAGATTGGGCCAAACCTGGGATGTATATATAGAGAAAGCCTGTCTCAAAAAAGCCAGCCAAAATAGGAGCCAACCAGACGGCTCATTTAGTAAAGGCATTGGATACAGAAGGCTTGGCGACCTCAGTGCAATCCCCAGACCCAGACCCGTGTAAAAGTGGAAGAACCGACTCTACAGTTTCACTCTGACCTAAACGCGCGTGCGCGCATGCATACATGCATACACACACACACACACACACACACACACACACACACACACACACACACGCACCCACGCGCACAGAGGTCAAGACGAGCTGGGGATGTGGCTCAGCTGGTGTAGTACTTGCCTAGAACATGTGAAGTCCTAGGTTCTATCCTCACCACCCCCTAAACTGGACACAGTGGTACATGCCCATAACAATACCAGTGAGATAGAGGCAGGGGGGTCAGAAGTTCAAGGTCATCCTTGACTACACAGTGAGTCAGAAGTCGGCATGGGATATATGAGACACCACCACCACCACCACCACCACCACCACCACCACCACCACCACCACTTCAGCCAAAAAAAAAAAAAAAGTTCAAAATGCAACAAAAAAATGTAGAGTAGGTTAAAAAAAAAAAAAAAATAGAGCCTCATCCTTGAGTGCTTGTGAGGACCATCCTCTCCTGCTTCCTCAGCAGGGACGGGAGGTCTTGCCTCTGCACCACACCCCGTCCCCCCACAAAAGCACTTACTTCCAGAATATAGGCGAGCAGCTCTGGATCCTGCTGGATCTTCGAGCAGAGGACACTGGTGAACTGAACTTCTTCCTTTTCCGTGAGGGACCCAGGGCCTGCCCCACCCAGGCGGAGAAGTTTCTAAAGGAAGAACAGGGAAGAAACCCAGAAGGGTGGGGTGTTGGGGAAAGGAGGCCATATGCCCAGGCAGCCCATGTCCCCTTGGTCCTCACCTGCACAGGCCTGTGGACGCTCAGGTAGTGTAGCAGTGGGTGCTGGACCTGGGCCAGGACCTTGCTGAAGAACTGGAACACCTGCTGTCGCATGCCTGGAGGGTACTGAGACAGAGCACGCTGTCAGAGGTGAGGCTTCAGACACCAGCCTTCTTCTCTGGGAGGCCTCGTCCACACAGTGTGGAAAGCAGTCCTTCTCTGTACCTCCCCAACTCCCTTTCCTGAATTAGTTCCTTTCACGACTGGGTCATTACTGAACCCAGTACAGCTGGTCCTCCATCCATATCTACTGGTTTTGTATGTATGGGTTCAATCCACCTCAGATCAAAAATATTCAAAACATGTACAGACCTTTTTCTTATTACCTAATTATTGTAGCATCATGAGTTTCATAGTACTTACATTTATTCATTATAAGCCATCTAGAGATGATTTAAAGGCACAGAAGAGTGTGTATGTGAACTACGGTCATCCCTAGGTATCTGTCTATCATCTACCAATCTATCCATCATCTCTCTCTATCCATCGCTCTTTCTGAACCCTCTTTAAAATTTTATTTACTTATTTATGTGTGTATGCACTCGCACACATATGCCACGCTGCACATGGGAAGGTCAAAGGACAATTTGCAGCTCTCTCCCACCATGTGGATCCCAGCAACTGAATTCACATTGTCATAGGCTTGGCAGCAACTGCCTTCACCCACGGAGCCATCTTGCTGGCCCCCCAGATCCCGTTTTATATAAAGGACTTGAACAGCCGAAGATTTTGGATCTGACAGGAGGGGTGGCGGGGCCCTAGGACCAATCCTCCGGGATAACAAGGGCCCACTGTGTGTGTGTGTGTGTGTGTGTGTGACTATCCTGTCCCTCAATTCCCAGCACCTAGCATCTAGAACAGACTCCACAAAGTAGCAGGTCCCTCTCTGCTGAGCGATGGGGTGGGCTACTCCAAGTAACTCGGCCACAGTACTTGCTCCATCAAGGTAGAGAAGCACAGACAGACAGAAGAGCATGGAACAAGGGTTTGCCTGGGGTAGAAATTTCCAGATGCCCCGGGAGCATGCCCACCTCCGCTTTGCCCAGAGTGCAGAGGGTCTCCAGGATCTTGTGCTGTAGCAAGTATTCCAGACAGGGTCCGGCCTCACTGGAGGATACCTGCTGCCTCTCTTCATACACCAGGATGTCCAGCATTTGCTTCAGCCGCCAGGGGATATCTGTTTTCTTGGCTGGGGTGTTTTCGTCTAATCAAGAGTCAAGACACAAGGGTAGGTGACATGAAGAGCGCCAGACCCGCTCACGCCAAGCCCAGAAGGAAGTCACGTCTGAGACGGACTGAGGGCCACCAGAAAAATGGAAGTTTACAGCTGACACTGTAAACTGACTGACCGTGTGTGTTTGCTCCAGTGTGTCACTGCCGGTGTACCAAACTGAGAACAGGGACCCCTCATGGGCCCCAAGGAGGACATGGGTCCACAGGAGATGTTCTGAGAGCTGCCTATCTAGCCCAGGCTTACACGAGCAGCTATGGAGTCTGTCCTGTGATTGCCCAGGCTGTATTTCAGCAGCTTCCTTTCTAGGGTCTCCTAGGGCCGGCTCTTATCCCTTTTCCATTCAGGGAAGTCAGAGGAAAACAGACAACCTGCCAGTCGGGAGTCTGCGGCAGGGCGGCTGCACCTGGCACCTCCGCAGAGAACTTTCCAAGTGGCCCAGGAGCACCCCCTAGCTTTCCTTTAAGGCATAAGCTGTTAAGCAAGGAGCTTGCTTCACCCTCTCCCTCTAACTCTGGTCTGGAGCCCACTCTGGACATTAAGGGCCCAGCCACACAGAAAGACCCAGGGGAGTCGGAAGACTCCTAGCTTTAGGCTGGCCTTGGTGACACAGGCTTGTGATCTCAGCTCCTCAGGAGGCTGGTGAGGCAGAAGTATTATTGGAAGTTCAAGGCCTGCCTGGGCTACAGAGTGAGTCTGAGGCCAGCTTAGACAATTTAGTGAGCTCTTGTTTCAAAATAAAAAATAAAAAAGGCTGAGGGATGAAGCTCAGTGGGGGACGGGGTGGGGAGGACTGCCCTGGGTTCAACCAGTCCCCAGAAGGGAGAGAGACATATAGCATATGATTTTTAGTCTAAAAGAGTAGCTCCCAACTGGGAAGAAATTCCCCCACCCCAAACATTCGTCAGTGTCTAGAGACATGTATGGTTGTTACAGCTGAGAGAGAGGCCAGACAGCATAGTCTTCAACACAAACAGTCCAGTCTCGGCATCCGCTGTGCCAAGACTGAAGGAGGCCTGGTCTAAAGAGTCCTCCAAGGCTCCCCCAAAGGGCTCAAAGGCCATTTTAATTCCATGGGCTGGCTCATGATGGAAAGAAAGCCTCCAGGAGAGTCACAGGCCCAGACATAGTCTGAACTCAGGGAGATGGAAAACTAGGGATATAGGACAGGCTTATTGACTACAAAGCAGCCAATCAGATTCTGATCCTCACTGAGTCATTATGGTGGGTTAATGCATGAATGCTTTGGCCCTCAGAGACATCAGCTAGAAGAAAAGGGGACCCAGGCATGTGCCACACCTTAGCTTTCCTACTTGTTTTTGTTTTTTTTGGTTTTTTTTTCTTTTCTTTTTCTTTTCTTTTTTTTTTTTTTTTGGTTTTTCGTTTTTCGAGACAGGGTTTCTCTGTGTAGCTTTGCACCTTTCCTGGGACTCACTTGGTAGCCCAGGCTGGCCTCAAACTCACAGAGATCCGCCTGCCTCTGCCTCCCGAGTGCTGGGATTAAAGGCGTGCACCACCACCGCCCAGCAGCTTTCCTACTTGTACTTCTTAGGGTGGCCAAGGCAAAATAATTTATTGAACCCTCTCTCCAAGACAAGGTCTCATGTATCCCAGGGTGACCTTGAACTTCTGATCCTCCTGCTCCTATCTCTTCAGCACTTGATTACAGGCATGCACCATCACCTGGTTTATGCACTGAGGACTGAACACAGGTCTCTGGGTTAGGCAAGCACTCTACCAACTAAGCGACATCCAAACCCTGTTGCATTTCCTCTAATCAACAGTCCCAGTGACAAGCACTTGGGACTAAAGGCCTAGGGACTGTGTCCAGCTGGAAATGAAAGCAAATGGGGCCACCTTTACCGTGCAGTCAGGCCAGTGAGGTCCCCAACCTTCTTGTCCTCACTCATTACTCACACAACTATTCTCCCAAAAGTCTGAGTGGCGCCAACAATTTAACCATGAAGACCAGCAGTGGCTAGGACTCTGGGTCTTGCTCCCATCTGTCTGTCTCCCTGGCTCAGCCCAAAGATGTCCTGTTGTCCAGGACCCTGCCGTCACCTTCCTAAGACACCTGTGGTCACTCTCTGCCCACTCTCCCCAGCTCCCCCCGGGGTCCCAGGCTGGGGAGCAGAAGGCTTACCTGTGCTCTCGATATAGTAGTGTGTGATACCCTTCCAGTGCTCCACAAAGGCCTGCAGCAGGTCAATGCTGGGCTCCCGCTGCAGACAGAGTAGACATGGTCTTTGTGGGAATGCCAACCAAGGCCCTACTAGCACCGGCACCCAAGGGACCAGAAGCCCACGTGCCTGTTCAGTGTCCAGTTGGGTGAGTTCTAAGTCCTAGAGAAAGCGTTCTGTTCCCAGCTTTTCAAAGGGAAGGGTAATTCATTTCCCTAGCACACAGCATCATGGTCTCCCCAGAGGACTCTCTCCCCCACATGTCCCCATCCCACAGGCTCTGTCCCCAAGAAGTAAGCATGCTGAGGGAGGAACAGACAGAAGTACTCCTGCACAATCCGAAACCCACACATACTACAACAGGGAGACCGCCAACCACAGGGCACCCGAGAAGAAAGAGCATGGGAACGGCGCACACGGGGAGAGCTTTCGGGCCCTGTCGGAGTCTAACGGCCTTTGTCCAAGGCCATGGCAGGCTCTCTTCAGACGGTGAACACTTCTACACCCTACAAAGGAGATGCTTTACTTACAGAGTGCTTCCGTCTTTTGTGCCAGGCCACGGTCTGCACCCCTAACTCCTGCCCACCTCCTCTCATCACCCTGGAGACTTCTCACACTGCCCCTCAGCTCCCCCTCCCCAAAAGTACTCTCTCCCTCTAGGCACTCTAGCTGAGTAATTGTCCTGAAAGCATCCTCTTTCCCCGTACGGTAAATGTTCACAGGCAGAGAACGACAGCCCCGATTGATCCATCCACGGCACACCCCGACACCTAAGGCTCAGGGAACACCGAAGAAGAGGGGTGGGAAGATGGGAAGAGCCAGAGGACCAGGACATCTGCTGCCAGATAGTGTCTTCTATAGGACGGGGAAGCCGCGCCCAGGAAATCCCAACCGTATGGTCACCTAATCAAGACCTGAACAATGACATCATCAGTTGGCATGCCAACATGGATGCGGGGAAAGTTCAAAAGGTCCCACCCCCAGATAAAGAGCCGCAGACAGTTAATGGCAGCAGCCGTGTGTGTGTGTGTGTGTGTGTGTGTGTGTGTGTGTGTGTGTGTGACAATAATAACCAAAGAAGAGGTCATAAATGTGAGAGGGGGTGGGGGCATAGGAGAAGTCGGTGAGGGGAGGGTAAGGGGTAGAAATGATCTAAATACGGTATTTTTATGAAATTCAGAAAAAAAATATTTTTTTAAAACAAAGGAAGAAATCGTTAACAGGACAAAAATGTATCAACAGTCCTTAGCCTGGGTGTTTATTTCCTCTAGGCCTCTGCTCACCACAGTGTCCTGGGGCCCATCATTCCTTCACACTTGTCTAGCCCTAAGACTCCACAGTGAGGTCAGTGAAGGAGCAGGCATGTCCGGAGCAGGACATCCTCATCCTCTACAGTCATTCATTTGGTACACATCTCTGTGAGCGCCTCCTAGGTGCCGGGTGCCATGCTCCATGCCACAAGCAGCTAATGATAACTCGGCCTCCAGTAAACATGCTGTCACCAAGAAAAGAATATAAAGTGGAAAGGGACCTCTTAAAAGGAGTCACCTCTAGGGGCTAGAGAGATGTCTCAGCAAAGAGCATTTGCGGCTCTTCAGGAGGACATGAGTTCGGTTCCCAGCACCACGTCAGATGCTTCCCAATTGTAAGTCCAGCACCAGGGGATCCAACACCATTTTCCAGCTTCCACAGGAACCCACACACATGTGATATAGATAGGCATATATACAAAGTAAAAATAATAAATCTTTTTTTTTTTTGACCGGGGGTGGGGGGGGTGGAGGGGGTGGTGTTCAAGACAGGGTTTCTCTGTGTAGCGTTGCCTGTCTTGGAACTTGCTCTGCAGACCAGGCTGGCCTTGAACTCACAAACATCTGCCTGCCTCCCGAGTGCTGGAATTAAAGGTGTGCGCTGCCCCGCCGCCGCCCCCGCTGCCGCTGCTGCTGCCGCTGCCACCACCACCAGGCAAAAACAGTAAATCTTTAAAGGGGCCACTAACAGGTTCCTTTCAAGATCCTGCCAAAGGCCGGGCGGTGGTGGCGCACGCCTTTAATCCCAGCACTCGGGAGGCAGAGGCAGGCGGATCTCTGTGAGTTCGAGGCCAGCCTGGGCTACCAAGT